GTGTGTGTGTGTGTGTGTGTGTGTACGAGGGCCCTCTGCATTTTAAATGATTTCTACTGGTGGTTTGAAAACGTTTCCAATGTTCTTGAACTTAATGTGAGGTACTAGTAAAAGCTAAAAAAGGAGCTAATTGTTAGCTTTTGGACAGAAAGAGAAGGAAGAAAAAAGAGGTACCATTTGATCTGATTTGATAACACTTGGGTATTACCCTTGTTTTGTTTTTGTTTTTTGTTTGTTTGTTTGTTTGCTTTTTTGGTGGAAAATAATTTATTTTTATACATTTTTGTTTGTCAATTGTTGTTTGAGTATTTTTTTTTTGTTTTGTTATTGAGTTAAATAAATATAGGCTAMATTAGTTGCCGAAAAGTTAATCTCTCTCTGGGTCTTCTTTAGGATAAGATAGGCCAGTGTTTCTGCWTACATGTTATTTTGGAATTATCCACTATAGGTAAACCTTTCTGGTATCTCTACCTTCTACAACAAACCCAAGCACCCCTCCATTCGGGTTTCTGATTAAGAATGGTTGTAAGGGTGTTACAATTAGTATATTAATATTTTAAAAGTGGCAAGAAAACTGTAATTAGTAAGTCTGAATCACTTCCATCAAAAATATCTTAACATTTTTGCTAGAAATAAAAAAAAATTTAAAATTATTTTACAGCCTTCAAACGATAAAATCTCTTTAAAATCTGTGAGATTAAAGTGTTTTTTTAAAGATGGAAGCAATTCACTTTGGTCTTAGCCCTACTTGGAATAGATGCTCGCTTGTCAATAAGGGCAAAATAAAACTATTCTCTAAACTGAGGTTCCAAAGAACTATTTACAATATTATTTAAATACCATTTTACAGAGCCTTACTTTAAAAAAAATCCAAATTAGCTCTTTGATCATCAGTACTAAAAATATCTTCAGTCCTGTTACTTCTAATGTCCGTCAGCTGCTCATGTAGATTATTAGTTAAACTTGGAGCTCATTTATGTCCCGACACTTTTGTCTACTGTAGGATGAAGTTAAACCTGCAATTAACTATTAAGCTGTAACGTATCATCAAATGTGTAAAAAAGTTTAATAACTACAATATGTAAGCTTGAGGGGTAAATTAACATGTTTTGTGCTTGAAAATCACTTTGAAATTTAGCATTTATGGATGGGATAAAATCATCACTTGCGTAAAGTTTAGCGATCGATTGAGCATTAGACATTTTAGATAGGCAGTTTGCATGTACTTCTAATGCTAAATAGAACTGCCCACAAATATGACGACATGCAAAGAAAGCCGACATGAGAAAGAACATTAGAAATGGCTTTCGCAGTTATAAACCATAAACATGAGAGCAAACTCAGATCAATGCGATTCCATTACCATCCTATCTCATTTCCCAGAGCTGAATTGGAAATGGGTTAGAGATGGATTGTGTCATTACCAATTCCAGCAGATCCAAGGGAGCTATACATGAGAGTCAGAGTGTGTGTGTGTGTGTGTGTGTGTGTGTGTGTGTGTGTGTGTGTGTGTGTGTGTGTGTGTGTGTGTGTGTGTGTGTGTGTGTGTGTGTGTGTTTCAGCCGTATCTGCACCCGCTGCCAATGAATAGGGTTTTTATCGACAAGCAGGAAGGTGAGCAGGAGTTCATGCGTTGCCGTCATAGGTTTTAATATGCCAGCTTTGAGATGCTGAGATTTTTTTAGCCTGCTAAACTAAACAATTTCTGACAACTTTGTTTGGCATGCTTAAAATTGCTTTTGGATGATTATTGGACTTCAATTTGGAAGATAACTATTACAGTTTAAATCTCTGCTGTTTAATCGGGATTGTTTGCCACAGAACGTGCCCTAAGCCTCATCAGACATTGAACAAAAATAAATAAATTGTGCTTCAGATTAAATACATGGATTTCAGATGGGGAAAAAAATCAGACGTTTTTTTTTAAGAATACTTTCCTACAGGAGATATACTGGAATGATATGTTGCTGCATCTGCTSTATTACACCTGTCACCGGGCAGCCATCTTTCCATAAACAATATTTCAACAACTGAAATCAGGAGAGTAATTTCAGTCCCTCTAATGCTAATCAATGAAAAAATGCCTCAATCAGAACCCCGATCTGATATTTGCAATTGGGTCAGGGCATCCCTACTAAAACAGTAATTAAAAGATAGAAAAGTGATTTGATTAAATGGTTAAAAAAAACTTGCCATACAGTGTGCCAACTTGAGAAAGCAAACAGACCGAGATGAGCGCACAAAGATGCTGAGCGACTATGGATGAGGGTTGAATGCAATTATGACACATTGTTTGCTCAGATCAGTATGCACATGTGCGTGCACACGAACACACACCAGCCTTACTTTGCGCTCCATTTTATTTATTTATTTTTTTCAAATAGCACAAAGTTACTGAGCAGCTTTGTAATAAATTTTACAGATTGTTCAGTGTATGTTCATATGTACAAACAGAGAGACATTTATGTATGAAAGACTGGGACACACTGGAACAGATCCTTCTCTGCTACTAGAGGATTGTGTAGGGTTGCAGCTGATAGGCTGCAGTTCAGCCTCAAACGGAGAAATATTGTCATGGACAGTCTTTAAATCACTTTCCTTTGCCAACGTACTAATTGCAAATGAAACATATCAGCACAAAATGGGGAGTGAACTGGGACACGAGCCGTCACCTTCAGTAAAAGCCGACAGCCTTTGAGCACTATATCCAGCTAAAGTAATGACAGCTGGCAAGACAACAATAGAACTGTACACATACCGAGTCAGGAAAGAACCTCTGCATGTCTCAGAACAGATAAAAGAAAACGCAGCCAGCAACAGTTTGATTTTTCATACCCGTATGTGCACAGTGCCACAGATTTGTTTTACATAACCAGTCTCCCACCAAGGTTTTATTCTTTTTGCGTTATTAAATTAAAAACAGGTCAAGTCTTTTAGCTCTCCAATCGAAAATATGAATAACATAATTGTTGCCATAATCAAAGTAGACCTGCAATCAGGCTTTAACATATGATTCTGTGAATTGCCTCTTGGTGTTCTTTTCTCCAAACTGATTACTAAGCATGCTGACTCGTGAAAACTCCAGCAGTGCAAAAACAATGTGTAATTAAAATATTTTGATAAAACGATCAAAATGAATCGGTCAGTACTAAACAATAGTGAAACACAAACAATGTCCTCTACTTTCTCTCTGAACAGTTTACATTGAATAGTACATACAATATGAATTATATACACATAATTGCCTGATTTAGGGCAAACTAAGAACTACTGTATATCGGTTTAAGCAACCAACAAGAGATCATTTAACAATGCATAGATGTTGGGTGTGCATCTTTTTTTGATTATTTTAGTATAACTGATGACAAGTTTAGAGGCCTGTGCCCGTAGGGAGAAGATAAAGCAGCACTTTTGGTAAGAAATGAAGGCAGAGAAATAAAATGTTGTTTTAATTTTTAAAGATATAACAGACAAATAATGGTTTCCCATTCAGAGGCCATGCCCAGAGAACAATGTGTGTTGCTCCAAAACTGTTATTAGTCATTTTTGAAATAAAAATAAAAAAATTTCCAAGAAATATATCTTTACATAGATGTTGCTACGAATTGTCTTTTACGGCAAGGAAAAGCCGAAATTGCTATGGGAGCTTGGGCTTTATGCGCAGAAGCAGTGGTGCAACTTGGTAAACATACATGGCAGGCAAAATATAGTTTTGTATCTAAAGTGGTCTGTTAGACAGAAAATCTATGGACAACTTTAGCAGAGGCCTGTAATCAAAAGCATTAGACTGCACAAAGAATGCCCATCTCTGAATGTGGCAGAGTGCAAATGTCTAATAAAAATAAAACCTTTTTTTTTTTTACCCAGAGTAAACTCTTTAGTGAATTGTGGTTAAAAATGTGGCATTAGAGTGCAACTTGTCACCATAAGAATACAGTGGAATYAGCTGTGGCATTTAAAGGATGTATTATGATGGAGTAATAAAAAAAGAACACACAACGTTCAGGCCATGTAAATTAAAAGAAAAATAATGATAATGTTTCAAAAGGTAGTTCACCAGCGAGATATTCAGATGGTAAAAATGTCAAAGCGCAACTAGTGACTGTCAGAACAGCAGCAATTAGTTTGAAAAGATAATTTCTATAACTATAAAGCACAGTTCAAATAATTTGAGGTATCTCACCTGTTGTAGAAATTTCTTTGAATTGACCTCAGTTTGGAAGAATAGTATTTTCACATTTCACCATCAAACTGGAAGCTGGCTCTATTGGAGGAGATAAGAGATGCAAAAGAAGTGTTAGAGTATTTCTACTAGGTCTGGGACTTTAACACATTAATTACAAGAAGTTAATTACAATAAAATTTAACTTGTTCAAATTTTAACAATTAAAATTGAAAGCTTTTAAAATACAAAATAACTTTCATATGTTATGATGAAATAAAATAAAACCCTACATTCACACAAAACAACTTGCACATTATGCTTTTTAGCTTCAGAAGGTACTTTTTTACTTGTGTGTACAGTGCTTGGATTAGCAAAATGTTAGGTAAGATGGGGAGAGGAAAAAAAGTTGTGGAAAATTAGAAATTGAGAAAAACTAGGAAGTAGTGTGAATTTGGAAAGATCACTAACTACAGACGGTGATACTTTGATGAGCAGAGCTGCCCATATTTATGATAAAAAATCGCCCGCTTCGCTCTGCCAATAAGCCCTTATCTGTACTGCATGCATATAAGTTTGATAGAGCCTCCACCCATAGTGAAAGATAACAAAAATAATTAACATTCAGCTTTGAGAAGACAGAATTTTGCTCCAAAGGARAAAGAATACATTGCATAAAGAAGACTAGTAGAAACACAGCCGTTTTCCTTGCAGTAAAATGTTTCTGTGTGTCAGAACAACCAATTTTGTTCGTTTTGTTTTTTTAAAGCGGCGAAATTCACTTAAAAATATATAGATTCTGAAAATGTACGCTTATGTTAAACACAGTTGTTAAAAAAATCTGAGATTATTATTGTTTCGATTAAAGTACTGTGCTTTAACTGCAATAAGCCAACACTTTGTTAGTTATATTTAATTAGCACACAATATGATACTCATCAATTATGCAAAGGGCTAGAATTATATCACACTGTTTCACTTTATCTTTATGGCATCCAATCATTGGCAGTTCTTCAAGATGTGTTCAAYAGTCTGTTAAAAATAAAACTGCAAAATTAAACAATTGACCAAACCGTGACCCTCATGCCAAATAAAAGCCCAAACCAAAACTTAGATGCACTGTTTTACCCATACTATATCATGACTAAAGACTTWCCTGTCATCAATAATGTTCAATAGAAAGGTAAGGAGTTCCTTTATTACGATGGCTCAGTGCCCAATACCTTTGGGTATTTTGCTTGATTAAAAAGAACAAGGCTACAACAGTAAACATCTTTTTAAACTGTCTCTCTACTTATTAGCCAGTGTTTTATGCTGTTGGAGCCATTAACTAAATTAATAATGTCCGCATTGAATAATGCTGATAATACCATTATTGCCATCTAACAAAAGGATTCATCCAACCRGTCCTAGCAATGACTGAGTCAATGCTGCTCTCATAAGGATGGAACAACAAAGGCTGATTTCAGGCGAGATTCCTYGAGCAGCGTGTGACCATAATTGGATTAGACGGCTGGTTGCTACAGACAGAATGGAAGAGATGCAGTAAGGAGCTTTTGCCATTTATTCTCCTTTGTGTGGTTGGAGGTGATTATGACTAATCAGCACAGGCAAGTTTCAGGGAGCTGCCAATGAAAATGAAACCCKTTTTACAAGTAGCTGCAATTCTTTGTTTACAAAGTTGAAAGTGTTTCARCACAACGTGACTTTGCATCAGTCTTGGTCACACATGACCTATCCAAATCTTTACAGACAAGTATGCAAAAAAGTGCATCATAGCAAAAGGACTAGCTGCTATGCTCAAAGKTTTGACGAGGTTTTATTACAAAAAGAGAGAACGTTGTTTAAAAAGAAAAAGTCAGAAATATGATCATTTTGTCTTCCAAATCCGCTGCAACCTGAGGCCCATTTAAACAACTTTAAACAACTAAACTACACTTCTGCCTCTTCAAGTTAAAATTCATCTTTATCTTATTTTAGAGCCAGAACACTTGATAATCCAGTCCATGRTAGCATGTGAGGAGGTTCCCCATTTTGTCTCAATTACATGAAAATGGCCAGCACTTCATCAGCTCTTATCGAGCGCTACTTGAGTAAATGAGGTTGTTGGGGTAGAGGTTAGGTCTGAACCCTTGATCTGATTGAAGAACAGAAAAAGTGATCACACAAATAGAAAGCACAGCCCTCGGACTTATTGAAAGAATACAATATTTACACTGAGCTGCAGTGGGTGGAAAAGCTGTAGTCTTTAAAGGTGCACAATTACATTTGTTTTTCCAGCCAATTATCTTGTGAACCACTGGGCAATAATAATGAAGTTGATTGACTGATAACTGATTAAGCTTTGAGCCAACCCGATTCATGTTAGTTGCCACATATATGAAAACAATGCTATGTTTGGCTAATTTATACATTCCTGGCAAACAATAGCTTTATAATAACTCAGTTGTAGAGATGTTGAACTAAAACTTGGTGTGGTAGTGGCTGAGACTCATCTTTAATGATATGTACTGTCAGATTACGCTAGACCAGTGATTCCCAACCAGGGGTACGTGTACCCCTTGGGGTACGTGAGCATATTACAGGGGGTATGTGGAAAAATTTCCCAGGTGTGTACAATATTAAAAAAATAGGACTGAGATACTGTATGTAGGACCCTATGATTTCCGCAATGCGGAAATTGCAAACGGAATCACGAAATTAACACAAAATGGAATCCTGTATAAAACGCGGAATCTCAAGGAATTTGCTCATTTGGGGTATTGATGTATTTTGGACGCTACTGCCTCCTGCACCTGCCATTACCTGGTTTACTTATTTAATTACTTATTCACTTTCAAGGCAATGTATTTACCTTYATATTTACTTTGAGTTGAAAAGAATAAAAGTCCTGAGAATTAAATGTTCTAGGAGGTAAAATAAAWAATTTTCGTTTAATAATCAGTTGTAGTACATTATACTTTTGGAGAATCATCATTACGTTTGACAGAGGGGGTACTAGTGGAATGACAAAATGGCTCAGGGGATACACAAGTCTAAAAAGGTTGGGAACTACCGCGTTAGACCATTTAAAACTAATGCACAGAGCAATGAGAGATGTGTTTCGCAGAATGCCTAAGTTTAGTGAAAATTTGCAACATATCTCAAAATTATGTGTCGACAAAYATTGTAACCCACTGAGATATGGACTTTAAAAATTCACAGTCTTGGTTTAAGCTGCAAATTAAAAATTTACTGCTGAACAAACTTGCTGAATTTAGTTTGACAGAACCGTTATATGTTTGAGTAGATATTTTTAGAATTTCACACACCGTTCCGAAGAGAAATGAATCAAGTGCGAAGCCACAAAACCTGACAAAAACACCAACCTACATATCCCGTTTTTGTTTTGACTACTGTGTTTTGCTATAGTTTTGGAGTTCGTTCGAATCCCAGGTGCTCCTTTTATTTCTCTGTCTGTTATGACGGCATGAGTCATTACTCAAATCCAATATGTCTGCAAGCTTTTATGTTGCCTTCTTTTGCTCGTGTGTCTTCCTGGCAAAAGCAAGTCCCTGGCATGACCGCCCACCCCTCCCTCTCCTCATTCTACCAACATTGGTGAGAGGAGCAACGAGTGGACACGATGCCACTTTAACCGAGGGCGAAACAAAATGAAGCAATTTATCTCCCACTGGGTCAGGGAGAGAGARGGGGAAGTTTAGCAGGGAAAACACTGGTGAGATTTTTCTGTTTTATACCCTAGGATGGGGAGTTTGTGTAGATGCCTCTCATTAGAGCAACCCCCCCAACCTTTATCCCTGTGGCACTAAGGGCTGTGCTGGCTGCTTCAACTATGCCCAGCTGTGAACAGATGGGTGGCACAGCACAGGCCAATATGTCAGGTCTGATGGTGACTTTCAAGAAATATTAACGTTTTGCCTGGTCATGTACTCTGGTTCAAAGTGCATAAATGCATCAAAAACCCAAAGATTGTGGCATCGAAGTCATTTTTGATAACAATTTACAATCATAAAATGTTTAATGAAAAAAATTAATTAACTGGTAAAATCCTGTTTTTGTCTTTTATTATATAGCTGTCTATTTATTGCAGCTTTATTGGCATTGTCTATTTCAAGCTGAATATGTTGTAACGATAGCACATAACCTTGTGTCCAGGAAGAATAAAAAAATTGCTAAATATCATTTTATAAAACTGAAAAGATGCGATTATCACTACAGAAAATTCATGGGAGTGTGGTCTTTGGTGCAGACCAACAGCACAAATCTCCTTTATTATGCTTAAAGTACACTTCTACTGATAAAGTGTTTGTATCACTTTGTATTTGAACAATGGCAAACAGGTCCATCCTCAAAAATAAAACCAAGGTTCTGAGTAAAGCCCTTTTTAAAATAACTGAGTTCGTTCTTTAGTTTTCAAATGGCATTCATTGGGGAAAAAATGCATTTTGTCCATCACATTTAATTCTAAAGTTCTAAAGATCCTGCGTAGTCTTTTAGCACTTGTAGAATGTGTTATAAATGACTCTCAGGTACTACCACACCAAATTTCAACTTAGTTTTAGTTAAAATGGTTGAGTTACAACCATTTTATTCTATTTGATTAGGTGAATTAGTAGAAGCAGCAGTCTAACTTGGGCTTACTCTAAAGTTATTAGTTTTAAAAATGCATCCAATGACAACTTCATGAGATTGTCATAAGAATCTGTCCAGTGGTTAATGAGATATTTTTCTGACAGTGACTGGCACAGGCCAAATATAGGCTGCCATTTGCCAGCGGGTGATGATCAAACACAATAAAATCAATGTATTTGAAAACCATTTTAAAACACTAAGGCCAATTTTCTTCTCCTCCGGCCTATTATTGGTTTGATTTGAGTTGGAGCAACATTTGTAACAAACCCCTAATGTTTTCATTTCAACTCACTCCATGAAGCCGTCTTTTCATCCGGTCAAGTGTTGAAGCAGCCAGGGCTGCACAGCTTGTCCTCTACTCCCTCCAAAAAAACAAGATGAGCTCCACTGATAAATGATTAGCTTGATGAGGAATCATGATCTAGATCAGGAGCAGGCTAATGTCAGCAATCTGTGTTGTCCATCTG